AGATTACAGATACACTTTTCACATTGTGCACAGAAAGCCATACCCCCCTTTTTTTTTCTCTTTAGGGGTCAGAATTTCTCAACTTTTCTATCACTTCACATTGTGAGGATATAAGGAATTATCGCGGATCCATTCGAGCAATTATTTGAAGTTAAGTCCGATATTCAAAGATTAATCGCAGGTCGTATATTGGCTATGCCTGATCTAGACTTTCAGTGGGTACCCAATTAAATTAGCTTCAACTTTTTATTTCTTTTTGCAAATCGGCTCAACACTTTTTGGCTGTAATTTTCTGGGAAGAAGCACCAGGTTAACTGGAACGGCCCGTGCCCACCCATGCCTCTTCCTGGCTATGCCCATGAGTGTTTATCTGTTGCCAAAATTTTTCTCATCCACAAAGAATAAATAGTTGCTCAAACCTTTGTATGACCAACTTTGTAATCTAGTTACCATATAAAAGTTCAATATCCCCATTCCTCATGTACTATAGATATCCTATGTACAACATGACACTTCTACAACAGTTTGAAAATTAGGTATATCCCCATACAATACGGTTTCCAGTTTTGCCCTAATATGGTTCAAAAATTTGGAAAAAATCCTCTGTATAAAATTTCACAACTTTATTTGATTTTTTTAAATTCAAGTAAGCATATGTGTTATTCTCAAGAAACAAATTTAGAAAGTGGCAAAATCTATGAAACAAGTGTGCTTCATCTAATGAATATTTTTGTGATTAAACTAAATGTTTTGAATTAAAACTTTTGATGCATTTTGTAACTTAATTATTTGTTTAATCAAGGAAATAAATAGAAAGTTAGATTTTTGTTTTTATAAACAGTATTCCACTTGTAAATATCAATATAATACTTTTAATTATAAAGTTTCTAAACTTTTCAAAAGGAGCTATATTAATAAGCATAAGAAGGCTTCCTGTTAGGAAAACTTCTTACTTATGCTACATTAGCATTAAATTATTATGCAGCTTCCATTTAGATCAATCACTAATTATATGATTATGACAACTTTCAACATTGTTATAACAACAAAGAACATTTTAATGAGAATTATGAAATATAAAAAAAAATCAATTTGAACACATTTTCAAATGTCATGAAAATTTTAATATGTATAAGATGCAAATTTTTCATTCATTAATGCAAATTTTTAAAAATACTTAATGTTAAAAATAGATAAAGTTGTTTGATTTAAGAGACCATATTAAACTTTGTATAGTGTCAGGGGTTAGAAAATTATTTGGAGCAATCTTGTTTATGAGTAAAGAATCTAACAGAATCTAAGCATTTCAATTTCCTTATTAGAAAATATTTCGGGGAAAAACGTTATAAAACATTTAACACTTACTTAACGAAAATATTGACTTTAAAACACTCGCAATAAATGAAAAAAGTTTTTTACAAATTAAAATATAAGAATTTTATAAACTTTTACAAAATATCTAATCATTTATCGAAAATGTGGTATATATTCTATAATGTTTATATACCTATAATATTTGTTAAGATCGACAATAAAAAAGAAACACCAAAGTTTATTAAAAATAAATCGTAAAAATTATATATTATTCATTTTAATTAAAGTATTAGCTCTTGAAAATCAATAATTAAAATATCGATCTACAGAAAGTCTTTCTGAAAATACAGTATGTCTATTTCCAAGGACTTAGCAAAATTAAAATAAAGACTCGTAGCAACAAAGTTCATAATGACTCAGCATATACAATCAGAATCATGTGATGTGTAAAGGAGAGAACACACTCATTTAAAGTCAGCTGACTTCGAAGGTCACGAATCAGTTAGTGTAGTCACCTCTCGCCCATTTCCAGGAAACCCCACAAAATGCTTTTTTTAATTTTTTGACGCCCGTTGTTATATAAAAGGAATGAAGTTATTGCCCCTTTGATCTTAAATAATATCTTAGGAGTGTCTTCTATTAAGGTTGACCAACTTATTATTTCAAGGTCACCTCTCGTAATTTGATTTTTTTCCAGTAGCAAGTGCATTCCTATTTCAATACCGCTACCCTAAGATCTTTAAACAAGTTTACGATTTAATTTACTTTTAAAGTAATTATTTGATTTTTTTGTTTTTATATCTTTTAGTTTATTAAATAGATTTTCGTGTTATATGTTAATAAAATAAGTTTTTACAGTGACGGCAGAAAATTCTTTTAAGCACTTAAATTTATAAAGAATTTACACAAGAAGCTCCCTATTAAATTTGAAAGTTTTATTTTTTAATTTTTTTTTAAAAGTTTAAATACAATGCATACAATTACGAATAATCTGCAAATTTAAATATTGCAACTGACTGTAAATATGATAACTGAGATTGTAAACGTACGGCCTCCAGAAAAAAGGAAAAAAAAAACCCGATTTTTCGAAATGCAAAAATTCTTTAACAAATGAGAAAACTTTAAGATTTATATTTTTCATTACAGACTTTTAAAAATAGTGTTATAGAGATTAGAATGCCAAAAATTTCCATTTCGAATGGCTACGTGGTAGTCTAGTTCTATTTTCATCCTGACAAATCTTGATAGTTCAGCAACCTCAGTCAAACTATATAGCTCTTAGTTACCATATGACAACCGCTGTACAATCTGATACAGAGTCCAATAACATCTGCAATACTGCCATTTCGACATTATAATGTAACAATGACAAAAATAAAATTTATTGTATAGCTAACAAAGAAACTCAAGACTACACAAATTCGCGAAATTTAAAAATAATATAAAACTGGAATAAATGACAAAGAATTATTTATTTTGTTAAATGTTTTATTAAGAAATTTTTCTTTAGAAAATGAAACTATATAAATGAAGTTATTAAATAAGTAAACAGCATCCAAAATCAGCTACTTAGTTCTTTATGTATAAGCTATTTATTTCACGCAAACATTTTTAAGCATCCAAGGTTAAAACTAAGATTATAAATTTATATTATTTCTCTAAACATTTTAAAAGCAGAAATTACAGATCTTATATTTTAATATATTCTCTTTCTCCAAAGTTTTCACAGTATATATAAAACTAATCAGTTATGTTTATAATAAGAACTTGTCCGAAAATAACTTTTAAGCAGAGAAACTATCGTCCTAAATTCTCTTTTTTCACACTTTCGTTAGAATTAAGAGAAAATTAATTTCATAAATTCGGGATTTAATAATGATTTATGAATGTTTTCTAAAAGATTACAAATTCAATAATAAAGAATATGTTAAAATATTGTATAAGAGAGAATCGTGTAGAAAATTATTTAAGAATTAAATATTTTTCCTTAAACTTAAAAAAATTATTTCATTTTAGATGTCGATATTTTCTATGGTAAAAAAAAATTGACTTGAAATTATATAGAATAAATACAGATCTCTATGTTTTCAGAAAATATTCAAGCGTATGCCCGGAAGTCAATAGCAATTTTTAAAACGACGCCATCGATAAAGTAATCTAAAATTTCAGAGTAAACATACTTTGGCACATTTTCAACACAATCTCAGTTCTAGAGTACAGAGTCCGAACTTAACGACTTTACAGGAAGTAAAATCTATATCCAAAACGAATTTTAAAGAAATTCGTCCAAAAATATTTGAACTACAGGAAACAAAGGGAAAACTCTTGGACGCAAAATTGTACACATGCGATATATTTTAAGTTTAAAATTTTCCTTTGTTTAAACGAAAATATCATAAATATTATTTAATTCAGATGGAATGGAACAAACATTTAATGTTGTCAACATCGCTTTATTGCTTCCCGGATACACGGCAATACTTAAATATCCTGTCTAAAGTGTTACTGAGATGTAATGAGCGGATTCGCTTTCTATTATGTGCGAAGAGACAGCATTAGATCTCTTCTCTAATACATATAAGAATATGTAATTAAATAATATATTTTATCACTTATATAAAACGATAAAACAACCTATTAAAAGATTCAGCAGAATAAATATACATACATAATGCAACAAAAAAAAATTCTAGCTGTAAAAATTTATTAATTCGTTTCAATATAACTTAAATACAGTATAATTAATTAATACTTATTTACAATTAATTTATTATTATATAAGCATAATAATAAATATTGCTACAGCTAATATTTATCTTTTCTATTATTTATTTCATGAATACTAAATATTATACATACTTAAAATATTTTAAATTAATTTGTAAATACAGTATTGCAAAATTTTTACTAATTATTTTATTTTTGTATTTTCGTTTTAACATTAATGTATGCATAATACGTAAAACTTCTATTTGATTTAATAGTGTGTAAATAAATAAAAATTCGAGCATACCTCGATTTAATGATATTCTTTATATTTACTAAATTATATCGAGAAAATATCTCCATCTTAGAAGGTCGACCAGTCACTTGACAAAACGTCACGCATTCTAAAATGACGTCAATAGCGTGTTTTTCACTCATCAATTTATGTCATTAACATCATAATAATCTTTTATAAAATTCAATATACATGCTAAAATCATATATGAGGTTTTAAAAACTTGTTTTTTCACACTTCAGATATCAAGCATTATAACAGTACTTAATGAATTTAATTCTGTTCTTTGAAAATTATAAATGCAAAAATATTTTAGTTGCTAAGTGCAGTAGTAATTTGTATTTTTCCTATTAATGGAATTTCAAAGAATATTTTGTTCTCGGAGACGTTAACGTATCTAAGAAGTCTCTCTGGCAGACGCAAATCTTAGCTTGAAAAACAGAGAACGGAAACAGCTGTGACGTGACGTCATCAGAAGCTGGCCTACTTCCAATATATTTTGTATATTAGAAAGATTAATACATCTTAAAATTCTTTAAAATATATTTCGATATTTCTACATCTGTTTTAATATCAAAATGTCATGGAAAGAAATATATATATATATATATTTGAAATATATTTTTCTTAGATTTTATTATAATTTAAAGTATTAAAGAAATTTATTAGTAATATTTCTACTTACCTTGATTTCCTCCCATCTCCACCATTCTCTGACTGGTGGGTTCTTTCAATTCTGAATAAGTCTCCAATTCTTCGTCAAATATAGATGAGTCGACTACTTCTAAGCTCTTTCACAACCTTGTAAAAGAGATTCCCTAGTAAATAAACCTGATTTCACTTTATTGAGTAATAAGCTGTTATAGAATTTTTAATGAATAATCACCAATTATACATAACAGTACATATTATTTTATAGTGAATGTATTGTAGATAGGAATGTATAAAAATTTAAAACGACTACAATAGACAATAGACTTAAAACATTGTATCAACTAATTATAATTTTTTTTCGCTTATTTTGAATTTTCTTCGTGCTAAATTAACTAAAAATTGCTAAATAATTTTATAATTTATTAGTTCAATAGTTGAAACTGTTTAAAATTAATATTTAAAGTTATTGATATAAATAACCTTTTATCATTTTTGAATTTGAACAGGATTTTTTCTAATAATTTCAACTTATCATTTAATAAAAATTTTTCATCTGATTAAAGATTTAATATTTATAAATGTGTTATCAAATTATAATAAATATTCTTGAATATTGTTTCACCAATAAAACAAACTGCAGTTTAAAAAGAATAGTTTATAACATAAATTCATAGCAAAAGTTATTTTAAATTAAACTTGGCTTCATAAAAGCTTTACGCTATATTAATTTTTAAAAATAAAGTTACTACATACTTGGAGATTAAAATGCGAATATTTAATCTACAAGTTTAAAGTTATTGAATGGTATTAAAATTATAATATCATATTATATTTTTCTAATATAAACTGTAACAACTTTTTATAAAATTGTTTATTTATCAAATAATTTTTTTATAAAATTAAATCTATAAATCCTAATAACCAGTAAAATGTTTATTTATTTAATTTAAACAACGCTACAATGTATCTATTTTCATTTTTTTAATGTAACTAAAAGATTTAGATTTGTTATTATTTATTATTTTGTGAGTTATGATTATAAACGATTTTCTTTTAATAATATATTATTTCACTAGTAGGAAAAAGTATCCGTTACGATTAACTTTTGAAATATAAAATTTAAATCTGGTTAATAAACCAATTAAAATTGATAAACATATTTACATTTAGTGTACTGAAATTATATAAACTTAATAAAGTAATATTTTGAAAGAATATTACTCTATTTCTATACGGAAAAATGAAATTTAATATTAAATTTTTACTTTAACAAATGATTAAAACTAAAGTATTAAACTGAAAGTTTTAAAAATATACGCTGATAACATATAAAAATTGAAATATAGGCCTATCTAATAGTATTATTCTATTTTCACTGACATTTTCAAATTTAATATTTCAATATAAAGAAAAGATATTGAAAAATGGAAGGAACTTTGAAAACATAAAAAAGCTTTGTATCTTGTTACTGAAAAGGAATCAAGTAGGCGACTACAATACAAAAACCGGACTATGCACCCACGTTATATACTTTATATAACTTCTAACGTAGTTAGAGATAAATTTACCGCATTAATATAATTTACCTAATAAATGTTTTGTAGCCTGTATCTTTAGTTTAAATTACGTTTTATATTTAAATTAAGCATAAATAATCTACATTTATTCAACAGACGTCTGTTTGATTTATTCTAAAACAGTATTTATCAACCTGTTGTCTGCGACTGATGTCCCCTGTTGATGCGACTGAAGTCCCCTCAGGCAAAGTTAAATTAATAAAAAATTAAAACGTATTCAATTATGATTCAGTTGTGATAGTTTGCTTCCAATTTAATTGATTACGTTTCCATATTGTTACGTAATCAAAACATGCTTTTAGATTTATCGATATAAATGGCACAGTATGTCCCAAATGTTGGTCATGGGCTTTTAAAAATTAGGCCTAAATAACTTAGTGGTCCGTAGATTTTTTCAGACATTTTACTGGTCCTTTGGGCTTAAACAGGTTGAAAAACGCTGTTTTAAAATTCCAAACAACGAAAAATACAACACTTACTACTTTCCCGGCAGTTATATATATAAAACAAAAAGAAAGTATGGCAATCAGTCAAAAAATGACTCCCTCCTCAAGATTTTTGCATTTTTGGACTTAGGACCTTAAAATGTTGAAATGAAAAAAATTCGGGTGACAACATTCATACATTCGTATGTGTGGGGGAGGATACGATTTTGTCCACCCTCTTTGAAGCTTAATAACTCCTGTGCTTTTTGTCGAAAATTTCTGAAATTTTTTAGGAAGTTTGTTTATTAGGGGCACTGATGATATTAAATTTTGATGATTAAAGGCCAACGGGGTGGGGAGATAAAGGAGGTCCTGTGTATCTCTAGTAGGGTCAGATTTATTGACGATTTTTCTTATTATTAGCATTTACATTGTTTTATAAAGCACGTCCCTACCCTCAAAATTAAGATTTTTGTCATTTTATAATAGTTAAAAAATATAAAAAGTTTTTATATTATTTAACTATTAGTATGATAACAGATGACTCCACCAAATGTTGCCGGGAAAGTTAAACAATTCGTTACTGGAGTTTTTTGTATATCATGTTAATCATTACAATTAATATGACATACAAAATAAGTGTTGTGATATTTCAGTGATAGTATCTATTTTTTCTAAGAAATTCCAATGTAATAAAATGTTTATTTTTCTAAAAAAGTAAGACATTACAATCACAATACATGTTTTTATTTATTTACAATATTTAAACGTTTCACTTATTTTCTAGGCACATCGTTTGCCACTTTTTTAGTCATAAGATCGAAAAACATTGCTTTTTACATTTCCGGATGATAATGATAGATTAAATAATGAAAGCTATTGACGGTATAACAGTGGCGTGCCGTCATCGGAAGCTTCCCTTGTATTTTCTAAAAAATAAATACATATTAATTTTAAATATATGAAAATAATCGCACAATATTTTATTATAACCGCATTATGTATCTTATTACAAATTTCTATACTACACGTGAAAATAAAGATATGATTGCTATTGTATATTCGAATATTAGTGGAGGAGTGGATGCGCTGTATCCTCAGCATCCAAAACGCCAGATTCGCGCACGCGCTTTACAGAGCACCAACCTCACCCGGTTTAGCTAGTGGAAAACTAGGGCCTTGGGTGTATGCTTCACGTATACCGCATCCAATTCTATCCAGGACCGGTTCTGGGCTGTAAACCGCCTGCCTGCTAGATATTTGGCCGCCCTCTCCCGATTACGTGAATCACGAGTAGATTTATAACTTACCAGTAAATTCCTATCGGTTGGGTTATGTTTTTATGATAGTTCTATATAGTTGACAGGAGTTAAAAAACATCCATTAAAATATTTGATATATTTATTCTGCTTTTATTCCGCTCCCCCATCTTATATTACTTACGGATTTCAATGTTAAACCAGTGATATTACGATTTCGTATGTCCCATCTCTAAGAGAATGTAGAAAAAACGTGTACAATTCTTGTACAATGTTAAAAAATTAACTGTTATTTTGGTAGCATCATTTACAACTAAATTTAATGAATGACGGAGATGCACGAGGTACAGAAAAAGCTCTAGAATTTATTTTCCTTACATTTACGATTTATGTATCCGTTTGTCGTAAAAATCTGTCTTTCCACTTTTTTCCCAAGACGACAAATATTCGAGTACAAAGTAACCTGTTTCGACTTATTTCTACTTAAGTAGTAGTTAAATAATTAAGAGATTGGGGAATTGGGGACAAACAAAACCCTGGTGAGAACCGAAATTTTACTTAAACAAAAGCTTAACCGAACCAATCTCTAGCTGAGTACAGTGGAGACCGATTTCTTCGTATTATTAATGTAATAAAGACAGAAATTTTTCCAGTTCGACGAGAGTGACCGAAAAGTTGTAAATTTTGAAATTTCTGGGACACTTGGTCCTAAAACGAATTAGTTAGAAAACAAATGACGGACAATCTATTGAGTTTAACATATTTAGATTTTTACAGCTATGCTGAGAAACGTTTAAAATCTACAACAGCCCTGTCGCGTCCTTTGGGATATACTAGTGATGCGACAAAAGAGGCATTTGACATTAACCGGTATCGGCACCCTGGGGATTTGGCAGCCCGCGTGCATGCACGCACCTCACACCTAGCAGGATCGTCTCTGATTCCACTCGTAGGGAGCTATATGACTAAGTGGTTAAGATTTAAAAAAGTAAAAAAGATTTTATGTTATTTTTATGTACGTTTCTTTACAAAGCTATATTTAATTATAGTTTTCTTTAAAAGTATATTCATACAATTGAAGAATATTTTGTACCAGGTATGTACAGTATATCCACCACACATTTTATTTCACCAAGTAAGTTTTTATAATTTTATTTTTAATTTTAGCTCTTATATTATAGCTAGCGATTTAGAATATAGTTGCGTTATTGAAAATTTATTTTAAAAAAGTTTTGGCTCAAGATCATATAATGAAAAAGAAAACATTATTAAAAGAGAAGGGCCAATGCCCAAGTTAAATATAAACACTTCAATAAAAAATTTGTTCGACATTTTCACGATAAAATGGCTCTGTAAATGCATAAAAATGCAAAAATTGTTTTGTTGGCTTGCCTACTATTTTCAAATGAAATTAGTGTGTGGAATAAGAATGGCTTTGACAATTTAGCTGGCAAAAGACACGAAAAATCGTCGATTCTTTCGTATTTGAAGCAATTTGGAAATCGAAGCGGAATAGAATTTAACATTAGTAAATAATATAAAATAAATATTGAAAATTATAACGAGATAGTTACGGCTAATAGATATATTTAAATTAATAGATGTTATATGTTTTTATCAAAGCAAGAATCGGCATTTAGAGGGCATAGGGAATCTATTGAATCTAATAACAGAGTTAATTATATTGAACTTTATTAATAACTATTTATTAATTACGTCAGATAAATAATCTATTAAAAATACATTTAAAGAATTAACTGATCGCCCCTGGAAGTCGGCCTCTTACAGAAACACAGCTTCCCTATCATCAAATGTCACGGCACGCCACTGCGGTATAATAACGTTGTTATCATCTCTTGCGAGTTTGTACGTTTGTATAGTTAGCCTAGTGGTATTTCTGTTGAACACTGTTTTAA